TGATAATAAACTGATATACGACGGTCAATTATATCATATGTTAACCCCACCACTCGAACTCGAGATCTATTTATAATTATTAAACTGATATACGACGGTAAATTATATCATGTGTTAACCCCACATCTTTAATTTATATTTGTTTTTTGCTCTTTTAAAATATGATAATGGTTCCCACCACCCGAACTCGAGACTTATTTATAGTTATTATTTAATATAATTACTCGTGCATCGCACGGGGCTACACACTAGTAATAAATAAAAAGAAATACTAGATAAAAGAGAGAGATTAATTATCTCCCTTGCGTACGGGTGCGGTCTCCCTCCCTCCGCAAGATACTGGCTTCTCGCGTAAGTACTCTGCTCGCGGCTTTGTTTTCTGTGTACCAGGCTGAATAATAATATTTGTATGGCGGCTCCCCAAATATATAAACTCTCAGCAAATAAATCCTTTCATCCCTCAATGCGTGAGTCACCCGCAAATACTTTCTTTAAAATCAGCAACGTATAAGTGCAAATTGGCCTTAAATAAAAGGGAAGCAGCACTTGAATTATTGCACTTGCACAATAGGTGAGATTTTATTTGCATCTTTATCAAATGAATTACATTTAATTGTGAAAGAAAAAAATCAGTTACCAAATAAAGATACTAAACTGTCCCTTAATTTGCGCATTGGATAAGAGTATACGATTTGCACTAAGGAAAAAGTAAAATAAAAAATATGGTAAGTTTGTATACCTACTAATTAGGATTTTGTTATACCATACTAACAAAATATGAATTACCTAGTGTTGGAGGTAATTTTCTATTTATTTAATTATCTTCATGCGTGTGCAATTAAACTTCAGTCCATGTAAGATTAGCATCCCACTTTTTTCATTTGCTACTCAATTTCTGTGCCTCTTATTAAATTTATGGGCCACATTATTTCCTCTTTTCATGGGCATATTGGGCTGGTATGGGACACTGCTAGGTTAGTACGGGGCACCCTCGTATTGCTCCGGAATAAATTTCTTCTAATGTCACTTTGCCGCCGAAAACACTCCAATTTCCTAAAAATAAACCATAAAAATATTAAAGTACAAAAATCCATCTAACAAATAAATAAGTCAAAAACATATAAGAGCGACAAAATTAAACATATAAAAATACGCTAATAAATATATAATATACACACTTTTTCCGACCAATCACTATGTGTCTCCCGGTTGGAGGTTTTTACATTGACCTGGGTCAAAGCGGTTATTAGTGAGTTAGTTCGACTGATATCATTCATTCATAAACGTTAATCCCTCATATTCTTTTTAAATGTCGTTTTGTGTTTTAACACATAAATTAAGAATTTTTTTTTGCCAATATTAGTCTTATTTAAAGCAAATTAACATTAATTCGAGCTTTTTTATGTTATTTTATGAGAGAAAACTCATCATATTCCACAACTTTCTGAAGTTAAATGAGGGTAACAATGAAAAAATATGTAGAAAAGATCCAAAACGTCATTTATTAATTTGATTAATGGTCAATAAAGCCGAAATGACAAATAAAAAGAATAGGAGGGAGTATTGTTTTACGTAACACTGATAGGCAACATTGAGTAACACTCGATGTCTCGAATAGATCGTGTAGGTAAGTTTCAACATGTGCCAGTTCCCTGAGCTGCCCAAACTAAAGAAGTTGGTTGTGGAATTCCGGGCGATGCGTTATCGAAGCCTTATCGGCCTTATGCTACTCGTAAGAGCATCTCCTTACCTGCAAGAATTTGTTGTGCGGGTGAGCCTCCTCCTTCTCCTAGTATAATGCTAATTAGTTGCTGTTGGAAATATTTCTTTAAATTGTATATAATGAAGAAAGATGATTATTTTGGTCTTGCTGTTGAACAAAAAGTATGCATTATGTTTCCAAAGTATGATGGGTCCAACCCGCCTAACGGTGCGGCAAGAATTTGTGTCTATTTAGTTTGGAGATTGGAAAAACTCGAACCCATATGCCTTATATGGTGACCTGAAGCAATGTTTTCTTTAATTTTATTTTTTTTTGTGTCCCTGTGTAGGCACTGTAAGAAACCGGGGGAAAAACGGTGTGGGCCCACTAACATGAAGCGCACCAAAGCGGGAAAAACCCAAATGAAGCCCAATGAGGTTTCATCCCAAAACCAATTGGTGGAAGGAGGAGTAGCCCATTACACTTATAAGGTGGGGACTGAACCTTCAAGGTTGTTAAAATTTGAGGAGTTCGCGCTATTTTCACACTTACACCTGAAAGTGGTCGAATATTTTGGCTTCTATGGATGTGCAGGTGAATTCGAGTTGATCATGTGCATGTTACAAAACTGCATGGCTCTTGAGAGAATAATTATAGATCCCAGTTATCATTCTTATCGTCCACATATGCCCTTGTTTCCCGATGAATTAGAAGCGGCACGGCATTCCACAAAATTTCTGCATTCTGCCAAGAAACTGCTTGAAGCCAAAGTGCCTCATGTTCGACGCGTTGAAGTCGTAGTTCGTTAAATGTGCGGTCGAGTGCATAATTTATTCAAGTCCTCACGAGAAATTTCTCGTGATCATGTATATTATCAGCATGCTGTCATTAAGTACGATAGATCCGTAGTATTGAGTAATTTATTATGGTTCGGAAAGTATACGTAATGGACCGCACATGAACAATCATCGACTTAGTAATTTATTTTGAGTTGTTTTGTTTAATGTTTGTGTTCAATTTCGGATTTAGGTTGCTTGCTTACAATCAACCTGATTCAACTTGTTCAGCTAACTGGTTGATTCATTGTTTTATCAAGTCTCATTGTAATAAATTCTAGGACTGTAGTCTATCTGATGCTCTGTTATCTGAATCCCTAAGGGATGATTGTATAGTTGCTTTCTTGATGATTTTCAAGTAAGACGGATCATACTGCAGAAATCAAAAATCACCAAGCACGTCTAAAAAACCCAGTTTTCCCACCAAAACCTAGTTATACATGTACATTATAAACGAACCAAAACCACAATCTACGTAACACACGGAGATTAGTCGCAGGTACCCTCAAGGCATCCCACACATTCGGCATACACAAACTCCACAATAGCTTAAAAATCTGAGTTGTAGAGAAGGTTTATTATTAAGCCATGCTTGAATGGCTTTTATGTACAATAGCAAGAAACCAACTCCATTTTTCTTCTTTTTTTCTTTTTTTTTTTTTTTCTTTTAGATTTTGTTGAAAAAGATGCCACGATTTCTTTTTTTCATCATTGAGAGGGCTCTGACTGAAAGGGCCGGTTTGCACGACGGAACCAAGTCGTAAAAGCAGCAACCAAGTGAGGGCAGTCATCCACATTGCGAGTTGAGAAGCTAAGGCACTGTTGGAGCAAATCTTGAGCGTCCGGCAAAGGGAGTGTGGATATAATGTTCAAGAATGTCTGCTCGAGCTCCAAGAAGACTGATTTATGGTTCGGCCCCATAGGTGAAGGGCTATCTTTGCATATGATCAACACCGGAAGCCATTCTCTCACGAGCTTCATTCTAACCTGTTCGGTCAATTATGTAGGCAGTGTATGAAAAGTGGTTGAAAATACAGAGCATTCGTATGTCAAACACCCAAAAGATATGTGGAATGTAGTGAGTCCTGTTCTTGGTGCTAAAGGAAATTCATTCATAAGTGGAAACTGAGCAAAATCTAAGTGGGCTATAAAAACCCAAAATGCTCAAACCTTCTTGAAATGACCGTGCCAAGAAAAAATGTACCTATTACTTGTATCTCTAATTTTGTTGATTTTTCACACTCATTAATGGCATGGAACAAGACCTGCTATTTGCCTCAATCTTCTGATGATTTGCCTCAACCTTCTAATGAGCTTTCACAGTATGATGCAATTCTCCCTCAGGACACACAAATCTCTTTTTAAGTAAATTCACAATTATTGCCAATTTTCACAACCAACATTTATCAATTCTGAAAATGGTCAGTGTGCTCAAGACTGGTCCTAAATTGTTAGCAGAGCTAAAAGCCGTGCAGCTAAAGAGCCATGTAAATCTTCTATGGGGCTCAATCATTATTACCCATAAAGCTGGTGACAATAGCAAGTTTTACTCTCAGCCAAGAAACAAACATTTCAAGATCACATCACTAATAGAACATTAATACTGATCCACGACTCCAAGTCATCCAAACCGTCAATACCCATATAGTTGGTGATCATAACAGCATGTTATTTCTTCGACCAACTAAGCAAACATTTGAAACACACGTTATCTTCACTACAACATGCCATATAACACACTCATATGCAGGCATTGATGAAATAACTGAGCTACTGAGCTTAGAGATGGAGATTCAAAATATGACAACCCAGTTACCAAATGCCACAGCTTAACAAAACAATTCTAGGTATCTAAGCTATAAACCTTAGTCACTATCCATTACTCACTACCCAGATTCCAGAGCTGGAAACCTACGAGTTGGGAACCATTAGTTAGAAATTAATCGAACAAAACATCCGGAAGCAACAAAACCGACCAACTCACGAGTTAAAATCATTGCAAAAAAGAGCACATCGACAATCAAGGACAGGAAAAAAAGCAAACCTGTCTATTAGCCAATATATTTCCCGTGGCCACAGCATTGGCGAGCCTGCATGTGCACCGAAGAACTACAGCAGGGAGGCTTGGCACGAAATTTCTCCATGCATCATCACGGAAAGCCCTCTGCAAATCTGCCGTGAACGAGGCCTGCTCGCTCCATATCTTGACGGCTGTATCCGCCACTTTCAGCTCAATCATCCTCTCCACCAACCATAGCAGGTGCTTCCCGTTGGTCATGGCGGTATGCAAATTGAGCCTCTGAATAGCTTCTGTCTCATTGTGATCCCCTCTGAAATCAGGACTAGAATACTCCTCCAGCGACTGCTTCACAACCTTCAAGCTCTTCTCAAAAGCTTTATCCAGAACCTTCCTGGCAGACTCCTTGGATGAAAAATCCCTCAACAGTTTCGCCACGAATGCCTTCGCAAAGGCCATGTTTGGGTGGTTGTGAATTGCAGAGAGTATTAACCCGTGAAGCATCTCCTCGGACGAATCACTCCTAGACGGAGAAACCCTAGCAAGGAGTTCCTTCGACTCTTCATCGCTAAGAAAGGGAATCAGGCTTAGAACCTTTCCTTCTTCATCTTCAGACCACGGCACTGCCTCAAGGAATTTAACACAGGCCTTGATGCAGTCTTCGAAAAGCAATTCCAGCGCTATAGGAAGCAGATTGAGCGCGCCGGACACGGTGTCGATAGCGGACAAGAGATCGTCCGCGTAAAGAAGTTGCAATACTGTTAAGTGGTGTTTTACGGAATCGGAATTAGCCGGAACATTAAGCTTGAACCTGTGGATACTGGACGCATTTTCATCAGATTTGGTAGAAGAAGGCGGCCCGTCCTGACCCCGCCATCGATCGGAGAGAAGCGCGGCGAAGTACCTCGACCGGCCGAGGACGCGCGAGTGGAGGTGGATCTGAATCTCGGACCGATCGGCCGGCGCAGTGGCGTCGGGAGCGGCCTCCGGCGGCTGATCGAGGAGGAGGCGGAGGACGACGTCGGCGGTATCCGCGTCGTTGAAACCGCCGGGGAAGGAGGGGGCGATCGGGAGGAGGGAGTGGGCGGAGGACGAGCGGCGGAGGCCGGGCGGCCTGCGGGAGCATTCCGCCGGGGCTCCGTCGGCGCCGGATGTATCGCCGCCGCCATCGGCTGCGGCGGCTGAGAGACGGCTGCTGCTGCCGACGCGCTGCTTCTTCTTCAGCGAACCGCCACCGTTGGTCATTCTGCGGTTACGATAAATTGACGGGATATTGGGAGTTGAATAAAACACGATATGAAATGAAGGTTTTGTGACTTGTAAACGGTGAACAAGAGCACATTATCCAGTCGGCCATACACTCGCGCAGTCAATTAAAAAAAGATAGGAAATGTACGAAAATAATGTCATCCTAATCTGGAAGGTGCTGGACATCTCGATATGGCCATTTTCATGTTCCGAGTCGAAATCGTCGGTTCCAATTCAAATTCAAATTTCATTTTACGTAAACCGGAATCGAAAATGTATATGGATCGGTTCAATAAACAGGTGTTTTACGGTTTAGAACCGGTCTGTCGATTCTGGACCGAAACGACAAATAAAAAAATTAATCAAAACATAATACACCAATTTTTTAAATTGGAAATTTATATCTCTTCTACAAAATTATTCCCAACTCTTTCATATCATTACTACTAGTGTGGTACCCGTGCGATGCACGGTGGGTGCATAACTTAAAATATATTGAAATACCTATTTAAATGTAATTAATTAAATTTAACATCTAATTATGTAAAACATAATTAAAATAAAAAAAATCATATATTATTAAAAACTTCTTTATACACAAATCTTATATTCTGTAGAATCTATTTCTTTTGTAGAAGACTTGCACTCCACATACCAAAATATAGTCCCGCAATAAATACATTGACAGTCAGCATCACCCATGTCCCAATATTCTGCAAAATTTTAAACTTTTAAAAATATATTAAATTGCAACAAATGAACTGAAAAAAAAAAGTTAATGTTATATTAACATAAAACACACCGGATTGAGCCGATGTGG